GGTTATTTTTTGAAGACTCTTGCCACCTGCACGAAAAATTATAAGATGTGGGCTGTTCGCTGGACTAAAAAGTGAGTTGTTATGTTAAAGGTATTGGCCTCCAGATGTACAATCAGGCTTTATTTTTTTGAGTAGAGTTGCCGCCTGTCTAAAAAATTATAAGATCCACACCGTTCTATTTTTTTGAATAGGGTTGACACCTGCTATCTCCAAATGCATATACGTACATATAGTCTAAGAGCTAGCAACGTTTTCGAGAGAGGATTTCAGGACAGCTGGTTTTTTGATATGACATGTCTCTCACTCCCTCGCACTCTCTCACTCCTGCGCATCGTATATTTACAGTTAAAAATGCTATTTTTTTAAATCATTTCAGTAAGGCTAATTTTCTTTTCATCGGGTTTAACTAGCTTTTAGAAACGTAGCTTTATTACTGCCAGATATATCCGTTGCTGCTAACATTGTACCAGACGTCATTTTTTATAAAAAAAATTTAATGGCCCGCTAAAAGCAAAAACAAAATACAAGTAATTGTTGGATTTGTTGAATCGATACCACCTTATATGTATTCGCCTGGCTACAAACGAAGAAAATTGATAGATATGTGAATAAAGAATAAATGAGTAACATTCTTTGCTGCTCATATTTCATGTTAAATTTAGAATTTTTTTAGATTTTATCATTAAAAAAGAAAAAATCTTGAATGATTAATGAATTTCTCAGAAACTACTAAGTTTATAGAAAACTGATGTACATATATACTGTTTATGGAGAGTTTTTCTACCTTTCATTTGCTGCATTTCGTATAAGATATACATACGTGATTAAGTGGAACCACTTATTTAAGCTGAATAACGGTAAATGGCAAATATCTCGAAAACTTATTTATGGAAATAATACTCCATTTTCGGAATCAGCAGGCAGTTCTGCATAGGAATTGGATAGCGGCATCCAGTGTGCATTTTTGTTGTAAGTGAGTGTTTTTTATGACACAAATATAAATAAAATGTTATAAATATGAAAATCTTTGTATTTTTCTCTTGTTTTTCTTGCTTTATTCCAACACTATACTAGTTAATGTTTTTTGAAATATTTCAAGTTTGTATTAGCCTTAACGTATGTATTAGAAAAAAAATTATATTTTTTTGATATTCCAATAATTAGATTTATGTTATAACGTTAGATAAGTAGTTATAGTTTCCAGTCTTCATATAAAATCCTATGAAAATTCACTATTTTGCTACTATCTCCCTCACTACCAGCGTAATACTTTTCAGCTTTAAATCGGTCTGGCTCTTGCTTTAGCAACCGAATGAATGTCTGGCAAATTAATTTTAGGTTCATTAGTACTTAAACAACATCATATTAAATTTTGAGCTTTACTAAAATGAGTTGAAAAATTAAATTTTTTTTAAATAAAAAATGACGTCTGGCACGATGTTAGCAACAACGGACATGTCTGGCAATAATAGATCTACGTTTCTAAAAGCTATTTGAAGCCAATGAAAAGAAAATTAGCCGTACTAAAATGGTTTAAAAAAATAGCATTTTTAACTGTAAAGATACGATGCGAATTAGTCAACGCAACCATTACCGCCTGCCAGATGACCCGCACGCTAACCGAGGGAGTGAGAGAGATGTCATAACAAAAACCAGCTGTCCTGAGATTCCTGTTTTCACGACGTTTCTAGCTCTCGTACTAATGCTTATGTAAACATTCAGCGCGTGGCGAAGCCTTGCGTATACGAGGCCGGCTAGTATAAATATAAAAATAAGCATTTTGTATTTGAATTTTAAATACTTGTATTAAAATCTCTGTTGAGTAGGGAGTGGGCGGGATTCGATATGTAGCCACCTTTACCTGGTGAATTCTGGGTCTTCTTTATAAAAGAAGGGCGAACCTTTGCCTATCTGAATGAAAAATAAAATCTCACCCCGACCCACCCCAACCTTTTTAAATTTTTTAGTCAAAGGCGACATTTTTCAAAAAATATATTTCTTTCTTAAATTTTTTCTTTTATAATACATCGAAAATCAAGCTAAAAATCTGAAGGAAACTATAGACAGTGACATATCAGTGAAAATCAGTCACAATATTTTGCTGACTATGGAAGACGGAAAGGTCTGCAACTCCGCAACGGACACTGCATCAACTATGTTATATATGCGGCCAGACATCAAAGGATTTTAACAAACTAGAGAAAGGTGCCGTTAAAAAAGAAGCCCTAAAGTTTTGGCCCTCAGTACTCCATGCCATACGCTTTTTTGAGACACTGCCACATTTAGCATATAAACAACCCCTCCAGAAGTGGCAAGCCCGTACACCGGAAGAGAAAAAGATTGCTAAAGAAAAAAAGAGAAATTACAGAAATCTTTCAGAGAAGATATGGGTCTACTTGTTGATGTTCCTAAGGCTGGCTTTGGAAATAGCAATGATAAGAATACGTCCAGGAGATTTTTCCAAAATGCAGAATGCTCTGCTCGCATTACCGGCATCAACTTGGAATTAATCAATAAGTTTAAAGTGATTCTTGTGGTAATCTCAAGTGGCCATGAGGTTGATCACTAAAAATTTGATGATTATGCTCAAGACACTGCCAAACTGTATGTGGAATTGTACGGCTGTCATCCAATGCCGCCTACAGTCCACAAAATTCTGATGCACGGAGCGCAAGTGATGGCAGAACCAATTCTGCCGATTGGACAATTGTCCGACGAAGCCGCTGAGTAGACTTTGCAACAGGGATGAAAAAGTAGGTACAATTTTACCTTTTTCCGACGTTTGATGACTTAAAGGTACATTAGGTACAGACACTAGATTTTAGGTACACTCATATTTTGATCAGATGCATTTTTAGTTTTTTTTTTCTTTTTCCTTTACCGTGCTAGTATATTTACTTTGCTTTCATTTTGAAGAATAAACAATTCTAAAGAAAAGTGGTCAAAAGGAAGAAATTGAAAAAGTCATATTATGTATTATATTACACATTTTACATTGCATTTAGAGCAGCCAACACGAAAAATTAACACTTTGCTTAGCTATCCTCAAATTCGTATTTTTTTCTATTAATTTTAACGATTATTTTCACTAAGTCGAATTCAATGGCATTTGCGGTCAAATGAGTGAAAACAAATTGTCAAATGGGACTAAAAGATGGCCTTTTGATTGATTTAGATCAGATTCAGGCGTGTACATCCGCTGCATAATATCATCGATAAAGGTAGGGATAAAGGAAAGAAAGTTGTATCAAAATATGGCGACAAATTTTGTTGTCAAAATATGACATAATGAAAACCGGCCTTTATTCACACATACAGTTCAGTGTCTAGGATGTCTTCAAATTTCATATTTTCTTTAGATGAGAACTATAGCTATTTGACCCATATTCGCTTTTTGATTTCTGGAAATATATTTAAAATGCTTTCGAAGTTACTTCCTGCAATTTGATTATTTTCTCTAGACTTGCTGCACCTATCAAAAGGAATCGGATAAATAAGCAGACCTTTCCTGTTGTTTTATAAAAAGCTGGATAAAGAAGTATACTTCGCAAAGTGTGTTTTTTTTGTCTGTTTCGCCAACATTTTTCAGTAGCCAAAATTAGACAAAAACAACGCTTCTCCGATTCCCATTAGATTATATGTAGTCCATAGATATAGGCTCAGTTAAAAAAAACATCCATATTTTGTATACATGTTTTAAATAACATTTATAAAAAAAACTACAAATGAATGATGTAACTTTTTTAGGTACAATCTGTCTCATTTAGGTACATTTATTTTATGATATTAGGTACAATCTCAAATTTCCATTTTTCAACCCTGCTTTGCAAGAAAATTTTCGAGGACTGAGTGCAACAGAGACATTTTAAATATATTACTTTTAACATCCGATCCTCTCTCAGCTCGAGTCGGCCAAACAATAAGAAGAATAAGAAGAAATGATTGCTGCAACGAACTTAAATAGGTCGGACGACAATACTGTTGAAGATATTGATGATGATGAAGAGCATTCGGATGTTAACAGCGAATCGGATGGCAACAGCGGCGCTGACTCCGAATAAAATAAAATTTTCTAAAATATTTTTTTTTCTGTTTTTTTATTTATTTTTATTAATAAATCCAAAATATTGATTAGATATTGTTTTTTATTGTATTTTGAGATAATATAGGCCCCTAAATAATTTTGACCGGTTTTCTGGCTCAATTTTCGGCGCCGTTTTGCACCCCTAGTTCTTAAATTCTACGCTCCTAACCCATTCGGTTCGACGTGGGCTTAAATTGGTCAAGTTGTTTATCAACCGAACCCAACCACAATTTGCATGCCGTTATTATGTTTGAAAGTACAATGTACTTTTGTATAGCAAGGTCCTATCTCATATACATACATACATATGTATGTAAATAGTTTTTTTTGACAGAGTAATTAAAAGGCTGTAAAAGTGAAATCCTTTCATTTAAAATTTCTGCAAAACATAATATAAACTGTTTTTGTTTTTTTATTTTAGTATAAATATTAGCGTAGCGATATGTGCATTCAGAGTAAATAAAATATGGAGTTTGACAGCAAACATATTTGTATGTACATATACATACATATCGTCGTTTAAAGTACAAAACCGCGTAACTACTTTGGCTGCCAAAAATTGAATTTGCTCACACAAACTCTTGGCTTAGTCCTTATCCATTCGTCCTGAAATATACCAGCCAGAAATGCGATTTCTTTATAAAAAAGAGAACCATTTTGAAATAGGAATGTTTTTACTCTCTAGAAAATAATTTATGCAACCTCACATACGCGGTTTTGCATTATCTTGATACGCGGTTTTGCATTTTTTTGATAAGCGGTTTTGTACTTTAAACGACGATATGTATGTATACATACATTTGTACATAAGTAGATACGTGCGATTGTTGTAAAGAGTATCAATACAAATGATGGAACAACTTTTAGGAATGTACATTTCGCATTCGATTACTCACATGGTGATAAGCTTTATTATAACAGCAACGAGTATAGAGCTTTTGTTTACAAGAGAGTCAAAATTGTAGCTTCAGTAAGTAAAGTAAAGGTTGTTAGGAATATTTCTGCCACAACTTTTCTCTCCTGTTCTCTCTTAGCTCTATTAGAACTGGCAATTCCTTTGTCAGCAAATCGAGAGCCACACAAAAGCACGAATTTGTATACCCCGTTGCTTTTGCTTCCGATTGATATTCATGGTTGCCTTTCCAATTTAGCGCCATCTGCAATTGTGGCGCAGTCAGTGCCATTTGGGGCCATCAGCTAAGAAGCAGGGTAGTACGGTGTATCCTGCGACGCGCAGTCGTTCAACAAACCAAAAAATACTATATATTTTCAATAAAAATGCTCCAATTAAATAAACATCCACAAAATCAATTCAAAAAGTGATCCACATATTTTCTGGTTTTCAACAAGTTATTAATATTTGCGCTAATCAATCGTGCTACCGCAATCGAATTAAATCGAAAAAAAAACTGCACAAATACCGACTTACACGGGGAAACGATAATGGAAAGCATATTTCAGTATGAAAAATGTCTATGCACGCAGAAGTTAAGTGGACCTAAAGTATCTCATTGCGTATAGATAACGAATGTTGAATATGGAATTTTTTCTACTGCCAAGGAATTGTGTGTGTTGGTCATAAAATTGCATGTTGCGAATGTGTATTGTCATAGAGGGCCTTTAAGTGAATTAAATTAATCGCGTATTCATTTATATCTCAGTTTTATGAATATTTCAGCTAAAGTGTTTCATTTAATAACAAGCAACGTGTTTTTCCAAGAAAGTGCGCATACACAAAAAAAAATTATATAATTATAGAGCAAATGAAGGTTCTGATGTGAACGGCCTCAAACTTCGTATTTGCTTACTTAGTTTTACTCGCAGTCATGTTTCCGTCCTGGACTTATGTAAAACATTCAGAGGCATTCTGAACTTTGCGAATTAATAATCGTATCTGAAATTTATAATTTAAGATATGTACATGGGTGTGTGCCGATAACTTATCAATTCAAATACTAAGAGTGCCTAACAAAATGCAAACTTCAAATAATTTCCTACTTGCAGGAAATGTCGAAAATAAGTTTGAAATACATACTAAAGAAATAGCAAAAAAACGTGAAATAAGAGGCTCTGAAATGTGAGAAAATTCCTTAATTCACAAAGACGCCGAAATTGTCAAGAAACTAATCAAAAGCGAAAAATTCGCACCCATTCCCCCATAGCCTTTCTGATTTCTATACAATCTATACAACCTCGACGAGGACGGCTACGTTGAATTATATAAAATTTTTGTGGATATACGAATTTTCATATTCAGGCGCTGTTCGTTTTATGTTCGTTTGCAGTTCGTCTCGTTTTCGATACACTTCGTGGTTTACTTTCGGTTCTACGTGTCGTGCATATGTGTATGTGTGTAGTTTCGCTGTCGCCTTTCGCTTTTCGCTTAACGGTTGTAGTTGCCTTTGTTACGCTCGTCAGTACTTTGATGTTTCGTCTTGTCCTTACCGTGGACGTGTCTCCCACCTTTATTGAATTCCTTTCAAAATGAGCTAAATATTTCGGTAGCGAATCACAATACCGAATGGAGAGTTTTAGTGCGGTGCAATGCAATGGAAAGGCTAAGCTGAGCTGAGCTGAATTGAGTTGAACAGCGTGAGAATGGAAAGCAACGTCGACTTACTTCGCATATCGATGAGAATCCTTGAGTTTCCTTGTATTGAGTCTCAGTGTGTATGATTGAGTTTTGTTGAGTGAAGAACAGAAGCAGCTCTCCCGCCACATAGGAGTACATGTTACAAAGTGTATCTAAAACCAATTTTAAAAGTGCGTCGTGTCAAAAGGAAAATGATTCTCGATTCAAATCAGAAATCAAGAAAGACATCTAACTGTTTTATTTGTGTTCATCAATATATCGTACCTAATTTATAATAGTTTATGAAAATCTAGGACTCATATATTCTATGCGTCCAAGCTGAGCTGATTCGAGGTTTTAAAAAAAGAACTTCCCACAATATTGCAACGAAAAGAGTGTGAGCATGGAATGCGCTATACAATTTCAAGGTTAATCGAGTTTACAAGAGAACTAACTATGGACATAATGTGTCTGCTGGAACTGTTTATTGGCGCATACCGACATACGTCTGCTTCTCTTCAAAAACAACTAATTTCTTAATTGCCTGCAGTTTCTAATTTTGAGTACTTATGATCGATTGGATTTTGCATCGCCTTTGCCAGGAATGTTGCTCTGTTTTTGTTATCGTCGTTATTAATTCAACATATCATCGCCATCAAATCAAATCTAGCAGCGATAAATTTTGACGTTTTTTCATATTTAACATTGATGGATTTTTGTTCACAAGCAAAAACGTAGCGGGAGTTATATGCATTTTTGCTGCTGTAAATTGGAATCGAAAATGCCTGTTCAGACTACCAGCAGCCTCATAGCAGAGGTATGCCTTCACAAACGGTTTAATGCACGCTCATGCATACATACGCACATTTATATAAAAAAACGATGTGTATAAAGTTAGCGAAACAACATCAAGCAAAAAATGTCGCATATACCCATGAATTTTCCGTTTTTTGCCGTTAATTAGTTGTGGAAAAAATAATTTTGTCGCTCTGGTATTTTTTTTAGATATAAGGTGTTTTGCTAACTTTATATAAAGTTAGCGCAGCACCCCTCCAAACTCAAAGATAAACGACTAGGCTTTATGTCAAAATTTGCCGTTTTTTGCCGTTCTAAGATGAGCTAGTTTACTTTTGAAAAAAATATTTAAAAAAAATAAAAATTAAAAACAAAAATTTTTTTGCAATTTTTTTTTCAATGTTCAATAATTTTTAGAAGAAAAGGATTATAATATAATAGAAATTCAAACCCGGTTTCTTTATGTACCGCTTTGAAATTTAAACAAACAACAATCGCCATGGTTAAAATTCAAAAAATTAAGAAGCTTTCTTATCACAATCAAACGACAGAACCAAAAACAGTTTTAATGCACAAAACAATTCAAACGGCAAATTATGCAACACAAAAATTATTATTTTTATTATTTTTAACCAATTTTTAAATCGCTTTCCAAGTCCCTATTTTTTTTTTAAATAAGGCTGTTTAAACAAAAAACAATTAAACGACAAAATCAGAAACAGTTTTAATGCACAAAACAAGCGAGACGGAAATTATGCAACAAAAAAATTAATTGTTTTTATTATTTTTAACCAATTTTTAAACCGCTTTCCAAGTCCCAATTTTTTTTTTAAATAAGGCTGTTTAAACAAAAAACAATTAAACGACAAAATCAAAAACAGTTTTAATGCACAAAGCAAGCCAAACGGCAAAATATGCAACAAAAAACTAATTGTTTTTATTATTTTTAACCAATTTTTAAACCGCTTTCCAAGTCCCTATTTTTTTGGCTTGCTTTGTGCATTAAAACTGTTTTTGATTTTGTCGTTTAATTGTTTTTTGATTAAACAGCCTTATTAAAAAAAAAATTAGTTACTTGGAAAGCGGTTTAAAAATTGGTTAAAAATAATAAAAATAATTAATTTTTTTCTTGCTTAATTTGCCGTTTGAATTGTTTTGTGCATTAAAACTGTTTTTGATTTTGTCGTTTGATTGTGATAAGAAAGCTTCTTAATTTTTTGAATTTTAACCATGGTGATGGTTGTTTGTTTAAATTTCAAAGTGGTACATAAAGAAACCGGGTTTGCTTTTCTATTATATTATTATCCTTTTCTTCTAAAAATTATTGAACATTGAAAAAAAAATTGCAAAAAAAATTTATATTTTTTTTTAAATATTTTTTTCAAAAGTAAAAGCTCATCTTAGAACGGCAAAAAAACGGCAAATTTTGACATAAAGCCTAGTCGTTTATCTTTAAGTTTGGAGGGGTGCTTCGCTAACTTTATATAAATTTAGCAAAACACCTTATATCTAAAAAAAATACCAGAGCGACAAAATTATTTTTTCCACAACTAATTAAAGGCAAAAAATGGCAAATTCATGGGTATATGTGACATTTTTTGCTTGATGTTGTTTCGCTAACTTTATACACATAAAAAACGTGTATTTAGTCCTGATTATCGAAATACGCAGTTAGATAGTATTAAAAATTGGAGGGCAACCGAAGGCAAAGTATACATATATGCATGTACACACCTATATATGTACATACATAGGTCTCATTAGTACATATTTTCTGGGAGTGTGTTCATCCAAGAGTAAGACTTTTGTTTGGTTGTAAAGTCATTCGTAACAACCAAGAATTTCATTGTTTTATTTAGAGTATTCAGAATATTGTATTTAATTGTGCATATAATTTAGCAAAACTCAAAGAAATGCAATTCACCGAGGTATATATAAAAATTCTTTAAATACTGATTAACCCTGCATAGGTAATATATGTACGTAAATTTTACGTGTATGTCGCATAAAAAGTCCCATTACATTTTATCGTTATGCCCTATCGCTGTGCGCGCTCGGCAGTGCTTTCTTTATTTTAGCATTGCATAAACAAGTGAATAATTATAATTAAGCAATTCTCAGCTCGCGGTTTGCTTTGATCGTTGTTACAAAAAAGTGTGCACGTAAATTTTACCTATTTTTACCTATTGGCCAATATATAACGAAACCGCCCTCTGTGGTGAGCATCAAATTAAAATATGTCAGGAATGTATGAAGAATTTCCCATAAATTGTTCTATAACCGCTATCCCAATGTGTGCTCGTTCTCTGCCCATGCCTGCACATTTAGACTGCGCCTTAGTTGTCAGAAAAAAAAAATTTTGTTAAGCTACAAAGCAAGACTCACCCTTCTGTTCTTTCTGTTCCTTTGTTCATAAAAACGTGCCCTGCGGGCAACGGAAAGACGTGCCTCGAAGGCCCTAAAGTTCAGCATTTTTATGCGATTTTTCACAAAGTGGTCAAAATTGCCTATAATTCAGTGGGAAATTTAATATATTTTAATGGCACTTGATGTAGTTATACAACTTAAAAAAAATATATAGTTTTTATTGTAAATAATTAGCAAAAAGTTAGCAAAATGTTTTCATTGTCACTGTTTTCGGCATTTTTCAACAATTTCGGATAAAAATGCGTAGCATATTCAAATGCCAAAGTTGTAGGGAACTTTCCTCTTTTAGTGTTGGGTTCTCCGGTGGCACAAAATTTGTAAAGCAAAATCTAATTACGGTTAGTTTTGATGCCATATTTGAGATGCCATGTTGAATTTTTCAAAAGGTTTCACGGCTTTCCCAAAAAAAACCTCAGTAACTTTAAAAGATGGGGAGGTTTAAAAGTACCTTAGCTATTTTTGACATCGGGGAACAAAACTCCATCAAGTGCCATTAAAATAATTTAAATTTCCCACTGACTTATAGGCAAAATATTGACCGCTTTGTGAAAAATGCCCTGCATTTTCTAAACTTTAGGACCTTTGAGGCACGTCTTTCCGTTATCCGATTTAAAAACAAAAAAAATTTGGCAGGTCACGTTTTTATGACTAAATGAACCTTTCTGGGGGGAGTCTTGCTTTGTAGGACACAGTTGTAAAATAAAGCGCAGGCTACCGCACATGCATGATGATATTCATTGAATTATTTTGCAAAACTATAACTAAATAGGGGATAACACTCTAGACCACATAAGGAAACATTTCTGTAGAAAAAACAGAAATATGAATTTTAACTTATTTTTTAATGTTTAACACAGCCCAACAAAAAAAATTAAAATTTGGTAAATGTTAAAGCTGTTTTTGATAGATTTTTTTTGTGCTGATTACGAATCCGTAAGTATAAAGTTTCCATCAGCTCCAGATTTTGGAAAAAACGAGGTCAACGAGTTTTTGCAATATCTTAGAAGCCTTAGCAAAGAAACAAAACATAATTCGGCCTTCCTGGCTTATATTCAAGTTAAAGCTCTCGACTACTATGTATCTCTGAAAAGAGATCTTAAATATTTGAGATCTTAAAATATGTTTTACCATTATTATCTTAAACTAAATGATGGCAAATTTTTATGCATATTTCCCTCCACAGGGGAGGGGTAGGGGTTTTGAAACCCCCAAACTCCCCTCCCCACTTGCGGCCGGGCCTGGTAAATACATACATACATTGATATTAGGGTTGCCAGACGTACTGCTTTTGGGAGTAAACGTGCTCCTTTTTATTGTAACGTACTCCCTTGTACTAAAAAAAAAAATATCTGGAAATATACTCCCTTTTTAGTTTTGTACTTCTTTTGTACCCCGTTTTCCAGCTATTGATCATATACAGGGTGTAAAACCCTATACTGTTTTTTTCTTCTTTTTTTATACAAAGGCTAAGAAAAAATACACCTGAAAAAGACATGTACTTACAATAAGGATTACTATTTTAAACCATAAAATTAAAGTAAAATATTTACTAAGTCAATAATAAAATAATTGTTTCGCAAAATCTATATAGGACCCTTTTATTTTTCAAAAACCTGTGAGACAGTTATTTTTTCACGGCATGTACTTCTCCATTAATATTGTGGCGAACACTACTTAGTAAATGTGTGATAGTAAAAAGGTGTAAGCATGGTCGTAGCCAGGCAGGTGCAGGGCGCTCGGGTATAAAAATCGGAAAAATATTAAATTAATTATAAGACTTACATTAAAAAAATGGCCAAACATTCAGAAAGAGTCTGGAAATCTCTTGTGAAATTTAGTTATTTCTTTTTAACATTTATTGTTGCTTTGAAAAAGATTCTAAGACATCTTTATTTGTTTGTACCTAATTAATGAAAACGAGCTCAAATAAGTGATTATACATATATTTACTTTTTGGTAATTTGTAACAATAAATTGCACGAAAAATAACAAAAAAATTTTTCTCCTTTTTAATGTTTGTACTGCTTTTTTTCTATTGGAAATAGAAGTGTACTCATTTCCCCGTTTCAGAATCTGGCAACCCTAATTGGTATTGGTATTTATGTATATCTATAATATGTATGTCGGCCTCTGTGGTGTAGTTGTAAGCAGTGTGCGCTTTCACTCATTAGCACCTGGGTTCAAGTCCTGGTCAAAGCAACATCGCAAAAAATATAGAAAAAATCATAGTTTAACCCTAGAACACACACCCGGGTACAAATGTATCCACTTTCAACTTTGAAGTGTTGTAACTTTTGAACCGCTATACCTCTATACCGCTAACTTCGGATCTAGGAAGATTATTTAGTTTTGAGTTCAAATTCAAAATTTGAACCAGATCGGACCATTGGTTCAGGAGCTACAGCCTTCCAAACACATTATATACGTAAACACACACCCGGGATACGTTTGTACCCCAATAGTAAAAATCCTCATAATAATAAAAAAAAAAACATTTTTTATATTATTTTTTTATTTGAAAAATTAAAAATATTCATTTCACACATTATATTATTGAATTTTATTATAAAAATTATAAAAATGCATCTTATATCT